TTCCTTAATAGATTTTTCTCTCATTAAACAATCCTTGTATTCTTGGGATGCATACAACTCAGTTTTTATATATTTTAATACACATTGCAGGATTCCACTTGCTGGTATTTTATTTAGAATTTTAGAATCTAAGAATTTTCAGTTCTTGTACTGTCTTTTCATGGTTTCAAGACATCCTAGTCTCATATAATCAGTTAGATAACTTGCCATCTTTTTCCGTTCTCTAGAGCAGTTTGCATATGAGAAGGATTATCTGGAACTAGTTAGAGGACTGACAGACACTACCTGACTTCAAGATTTACTATAAAGAAAGCTATAGTAATCAAGACAATGTGGTACTAGCAAAAGAATAGACAAAAAGACCAATGGAACAGAATAGAGAGCTCACAACTAGACCCATATAAATATAGTCAACTAATCTTTGACAAAGGAACAAAGGCAATACAATGGAGCAAATACAGTCTTTTCAACGAATGGTCCTCGAACAACTGGATTTCCATGTGCAAAGAATATGCATCTAGACACAGACCTTACATCCTTCACAAAAATTAACTGAAAATGGATCATAGACATAAGTGTAAAATGCAAAGCTATAAGATGTCTAGAAGATAATACAAGAGAAAACCTAGATAATCTTGGGTATAGGGATGACTTTGTAGATAGAACACCAATGCCACAATCCATGTAAGAAAGAATTGGTAAGCTGGACTTCATTAAAACTAAAAACTCTATGAAAGACACAGTCAAGTGAATGAAAAGACTGCATACTGGGAGAAATTATTTTTAATAGACATATTTGATAAAGGACTGTCATCCAAAATATACAAAGAACTCTTAAAACAACACTAAGAAAACAAACACCTCAATTAAAGAAGAGGCCACAAACCTTAACAGAGACCTCTCAAAAAAGTGATACGGATGGCAAATAAACACATGAAAAGATACTCCACATCGTATGTCATTAGGGAAAAGCAAATTAAAACAATGAGATACAACTAAACACCTATTAGAATGGTCAAAATCCTCAACACTGACAACACCAAAAGCTAGGGAGGGTGTGGACCAACAGGAACTTTCATTCATTGCTGGTGGGAACGCAAAATGGTAGAGCTGCTTTGGAGTACAGTGTGGCGATTTCTTACAAAACTAATCATAATCTACTATATGATTCAGCCAACTATTAAAAATGTACAATTTCTCTCTGCCATTGTGATCGTAACAATTTTGCTAGAGAAAGTACTAAGGTCTTTCATGATTTTTAGAATTAGATTTTTTCCCTTCGATGCTAGGAATAATTAAGCTTAAGACGAAGTAATGCTTTGCCAAGTTATCTCGTTTTAACCTCACAATAGACCTAGGAAGTAGGTACCATTATTATTTTTCCCATTCTATAAATGAGGAAATTGAGACCTGGGTAAATTAGGTAATTTGCCTCAGATCACAGATCTAGTAAGTGACAAAGTCAGCTCTCTTTCCAATGTTTTCTTTTTGTTGTTTTAAACTTTTTTTGGTAAAACATACATAAAATTTACCATTTTAAGCATTCAATTCAGTAGCATTAAGTGCATTTACAATGTTGTGCAATCATTACTATCCATAGCCAGAACTTTTACATCATCCCAAACGGAAACTCTGTAGTCATTAAACAAGAACTTCCCCTTCTCCTCTCCTACCAGCTCCTGACAATCACTAGTTCTTATCTCTATAAATTTGACTACTCTGTGTACTTCATATAAGTAAATCATGTAATTTTTCCTTTTGTGTCTAGCTTATTTCACTCAGCATTAGTGTCTTCAGGATTCATCCATATTGTAGCATGTGATCGTTTTCTTCTGTTTTAAGGCTGAAAAATATTGTATTCCATTGCAATAATATTCTAATTTATTAGTGTGTGATCTAGAGTGAGTTACTTCTCTGTGCCTCATCACTTCATCTTTGGAGCAAACACATATAATTGCTGTAAGAATTAAATAAGTTAATATATTGAAAGTGTCTGGCACATAATAAGCACTCACCAAGAGTTAATTATTACTTTTGTTGTTGGTATTATTATTATTGGTACAAAACAAAGTCCTAGGACATTCAGGGGCTGGTAGACATATAATCCCCAGAGCAAGACCTGAAATTACTAACAGCCTAGTTTGCTTTCCTCTGCTAAGGCACAAACTACTCAAGGTTACATTTTGACCACTGGGACATTGCTACATTTTGCTTCTCCTATACTTCCCTTCATATTATCTTTCTAAAACACAACAATCATCTACCTGATAGTTCCCCATTACCTTTAAGATAGAGTCCAAACTTAACATATAAGTCCTTTCATGCTCTGTACCTATCTCTTTCCTCCCTCTCCAGATATCCTGTCATTCTCCCACAGGTACTCTGTGTTCCGGGCATAGTCAACGACCCCGTTCACTCGATAAATATTTGAGTGACTAGACTGGAACTGCATAAGGCATTGGAGAACTAACAAGATATAAAAGTGGTTTTCACCTTCACGGAGCTCACATTATAAAGACATTTAATTATAATAATCATAAGGGCGATGAGCTAAAAAGTACAGTATGCAACGAAAACATACAGTAGTGAAGTCTAGCGGGGTTCATTTAATCTTCTACGTCTTGACCCCTGTTCTATTCCTTTGCTCGTTCCCTTCTTTTTCCACCCAGCCTGCTCCACTTTTTGAGAAGCCTTTCTTGACCTGCTTGTTCTTATGTACTCTCATAACTCCATGTGTTTATTGCTTTCACAGAATTTATCTCACTGTTGGTTCGTTTGGACATTTCTCTCTAATACTCCCATCTCTCTGTGAGTTTTTTTTATCTCTGTATCCCAGGGTATTAAAATAAGTCTTTGTTGAATGATGTACACTTTAAGAAACTTTTTATCTTGAAATCATTGTAGACTCAGAAGTTGCAGAAATAGTACCGAGAGTTCCTTGGGTACTCGACACCCAGGTTCTCCCACTGGTAACTTCTTATAAAACTACAGTACATTAATAAAATTGGGAAATTGACATTGGCATAATGCAATTAACTAGACTACAAACCTAACTCAGATTTCATCTCTTTTGTATGCACTCATATTTTCAGGTGTTCTATATAGTTTTATTAAATTTTATCAGTTATTATACCACAATCAAGATACAGAACTGCTCTGTCACCAGAGAGAATTTCCTCGTACTACCCTGTCATAATGATGTCCATTTTAACTAGATTTTCTCTGTATTATTACAGGGAAGCAAGATGGAGAGGATGTATTGTGCGTTAACTCTGGAATACACTGTCCCCTCAGAGATGGCCCTAGTAACTTCCTTCCCCAAGTCCAAGATTTGTAAGTAGGTTAAAATTAACATTAAGAATGTTTCACATTATCTTAATATCTTAAGTAATTATGATGTATAACATTCAGATATGGTTAAGCAAAGAAAAGACTCAACTTTAGAAATTTTCTTTCTTTTCTAGAATCATGACAATGTTTTCTGTCTTTTTTAGAATCATGACAATGTTTAAAATGCAGTCTTAGAAAGATACTGTTTCACGGTCATTGGCACTCAATTTAAAAAAATGCCTTTTTGACTAAAAAAGAATGCTTGAAACAATGTTATGTGCCTAGTTTTGGATATAGATCACATGGGGGCTGCTGTACATGCCAAAAAAGTTAGTATAATTGCTAGAAAATACTGATTTATGATCTCCCTCAACTGGATACAGTAACTAGTTGCGACTGTTCAGCTTCTAGGCTGAGAGGCAAGACTTGTAAGGAAATTTAGGTGGTGTTGATGCTATTGAGGCCAAGTCCTCTACAGTCCTTCCACCATCTGCCAGATGCAGTGGGTCTGCCTCCTCTGCCCGCAGCATCCTCCTTCTTCCTAATTGTTCTAATAGCCTCTGAGAGTTTTTACCGGGATGGCAACCTTGACAGAGGGAATGGCAAACAAGTACAAATATTTGAAGATAAATGTTCAATCTGTTCTTTTCTGTTAAGATAAAATACAAAAAGAATAACTTCTTTGAAACACTAGATACATCAATCCAGCCTGCCAGCCCTCAGTGTTTTAAACGTTAAAAAGCGATGCTTTAAGTATTAACTAACTAGTAGACTGCCATTTATCTGACGCAGCATTTGTTCAGTGCTTTTCTCCCTTATAGCCTTGTTAGAACTTGGAAAAACTGTCTTCGCAGCTACAGTTGGCCAAATTGCTGTTCTTAAAAATGAGATTTGGAAGTCTGCTGAGTTGGTGGTATGAGGTATGGCTCTAAGAAAGCTTTCACTTTCATGAAAAAAAAATAAACATAGGTTGCTGAAGCCACCTCTTTCTCCATCTTCCTGTCTTGAACAAGGGTGTAAAGGCTCAAACCGCTGTAACCATCTCGCAACCATAAGGGAAATGTCAAAAGAATCACAGAAATTGTGGTTGTGCTGTTAAGCTGTTGAATCAACAAAGGTAACTGCCTACCTGCAGACTGGTTATATGACCAAAGAGACTTATTTGTTTAAGTCACTGCAATGGGCTTTTTTTTTTTCTTGCAGCCAAATGCATTCCTAACTGTTTAGCTATTAAAATGAGTTTTAGTCCTCTCCTTCATCCTCACAGTTAGCTTCTCTTTATAGAATGATATTACTATCTACTTTAACTAGGAAACTCAGTCATTCTTCACTTATTTATTCCTCATCCTCTTAGGAACCAAGTATTTAGCTAGTTTCAAGTCCATTCTTCACAGTCTTCACTAAATGAGTTTGGACTCTCTCCATCTCCTGCCTGGATTTTTAACAGCCTCTTAACCTGTATCCAACTTCCAGTCCGAAATCCACTATGCTTCAGAATTATTTTTTTCTAGGGAGCATCTGACATCTTGTTTCCTGGAATATATGTTGTCAGTTTGGCTCAAATAAACTCATAAAATTTAAAAATATAGTTTTCTAAAATCTTATGAAGATATTGTCTTCCCTAAAAATCTTAAATGGCTCTGTCTACAGGATGAAACACAAACTCTTACCATAGGTACTTTTGGTACTTTCCACCTTCTTGTTTGGACTTTGCATCACCAGGATCCAGTCTGGCACAGAGCATTTGTTAAGTGACAATATTTTGTATGGCTTCTTTGTTGTTTAATATCAAAATTCTTAAACATTTAATGAGATTAAGCAGAGTGATAGCATACTTGGCACTCTATAGAGATTTGTTGAATCTAGTTTCCAAATTCTATTGAAAAATCCTTTGTCAGTAGTAGTCCCGGATACACACATCTTCGTGAGCATTCAGTTCATCTAGCCTACCCTACAGGAAGAAGCTCTTCAGTAACGTATATGCTTTTAGTTTATAATTAGTCGAGTACATTCTCCAGGTAGGGCTTATGCCAAGAGTGAAGTTACCAAGGTAGGTGACGACAGTGTGGGCATTTCGGACAATCTTTGATCCATAACCTCTAACAAATGAGAGCAAACATACAGCTTTCCGCTTGTCAGCAAGCCGCACCAAGTTAAGCAAACCAGTGTGGGCCACAGGCACCGGCTGCTCCAGAGGCCTGGCTTTGTGAAACTGCAGGCACTCCTTTGGAACTTGCTGGGGGGCGGGAGCGGGTAGCTGCCCGCAATGCGGCACAAAACTATCCGGAAGGCTTCCCATGGAGAGGCGCCCATCCGCACCCCGACGTTTCTCTCCCCCAAACTGCGGGCCGTTCAGGGGCTTCTCTGAGTTGTTCCTTGGCCTTGAGAGACCAGGATATGGAGCCTTTCTGGTGAGATCGTTAAACCAAACATGCTCTGGAGAACAGGGGCCGTGTTAGGGGGAGAAGAGGCCAAGAGGACAAAGCCCACTCAGCCAACAGCCCAGTCTCCCCTTATTCCGCTGGTCTAGTGTTGTCTAGTCCTCCTCGTTCCCACTCCCCGACCTACCCTGCATATTTTTGTATTTCGAGGGGAAGAAAACAGCCCACAGCATAAAATCTAGTACTGTGCTGCTTGGATTTCCTACCCCCTAAAATTCCAGGGCCTCTCCTTCCGCCAGGATAAGCCGGGAGCTCCTCAGGCCCGCGCGTCTGGGGGCCGGGGGGCGGGGAGCCCTCCGCCGCGCACGCGCCCTCCGCTGACCTTCCCCGGGAAACCCCCTTCAGCGGAGCTTCCCCGGCACCTCGCGCGGCCCCCTCCCTTCCTGCTCTTTCCGCTTCCTTCCTCGCGCCTGCGCGGACCCGATTGTTTTGGCTTTCCGGTGGGATCCAGCACGGGGAAAGGGCGGGGGAAGCGAGGGTGCGTGGGGCGGGGGTGGTCTCGGGAACCCGGGAAACTGCAAAATTGCCGCTGGTGCCGCCAGGCGCGCGCGAGCCGTACGACGGGAAGCCTGGCCCGGGCCGGCCCTCGGC